GAGAGAGAGAGAGAGAGAGAGAGAGAGAGAGAGAGAGAGAGAGAGAGTGTGAGTGTGTGTGTGTGTGTGTGTGTGTGTGTGTATTTGTTTAAAATTCTGTAGTCCTTCCTGGAGGAGGGAAAGGAGGATTCTTTGCTAAGAAGCAATATCCCTATCCTCAATGACCCCTGAGACCAGCCTACCCTGGGTCCTGAAACTGGCCACAAAAGCTTCCTGGATCCTGCAGACTTCCACGTAGTCTTTTGCAGGGTCTAAGGACCATCTAGCCTGGGGTCTACCACAGGACCCTGCATCCCTCCTCTCTCAAGTAAAATATTCCCTCTTTCCCTCTGGGGGTGGGGAGAGTGCTCTTTCCCCTGGGGGCATTTGCTCTCAAATAGCTCATAAGTAGGGTTGGGGTATGGGGTGTGGGGTGTGTGGGTATGGAGATGTCTATGGTTGGAAGACAGGGCCTCAAAGCCAGACAGGAGCAGGATGCAGAGAAAGGGGCTTGGTTAGGTTGGGCATAATAATAAATGCTCCTAGGCCAATTGGGCATTTTCAGAGATGAACCCCATAAAAGGATAGCACATGGCAGGGCAGCTAAGACGATTCCGAGGGAATCACACTAATGGAAGGAGGGGGTGGTGGGGGAGAGGCATCTGAAAGCAACAGGTAATAGAACAGGCCAGAGAGGCAACGTATAAGGAAATTGGGGAAGGGGGTGTCACTAGTAGAAAAGCGCAGGGGTTCCCTCAGGCTGAAAATGTAGAAGATCGCACGGGCTTTTCTCAATCAAGAACCTGACAGTGGCTTGGCTGAAGGGGGTGGGAGGAGGGAGAAACAGTCTGGGTGGGGAAAACCCTTCTGCAGCAAAGTCCCAAGTCCGGGGAGCAGGGGAGCCAAGCTTCCAACTTCAACGACCCTCGAACCCCAGAGTTGGGGGTGGCTGCCCTGCATTGCCCCGGTTCCCACGGGAATCCATCGAGAAACTGCGCCCCCGTTCCCCTCTCCTGCGGAGCTTCGGGTGAATGAATGTTACCTCCTCCCTCCGCACCCCCCCCCCCCGCCCCAATCTCTCTTCCACAGGAACAACCACCTCTCTCCCCTCCGCTCCCCGGCTGCTGCTGCCGTCATAGGGTGGGGAGCTGCAGGGACGCGGAGAAAACAAGCACCAGGGAACGCTGGGCGGGTCCCCCCCCTCGGAGAGGGTCCTCCCAAATCAGAGAGGGTCCCTCGAAAGCAAGAAGGGGGCCCTAAAGTAAGCGGCTATCCCGAGACTGGACCTTTTGGACGTACTATCCCCCCCGCCCGTGCTGGGGCTTGTTGGGATGGGATTGGGCTCCTTGCGTCCCCGGCGCGAACCTCACCTCCTTTTTGACGTTCCAGAGTAATTTCTCTTTGACTGCGTCCTCGGGGCGGCTCATGGTGCCAGGGGAGCGGAGCCCCGCGCCGGCCAGCCCGGGCTGCTGCCACTGGCCGCCGCGCCTAGTCTGGTCCTCCGTCGCTCAGCTGCCCGCGGGCAAGGCGGAGCCCCGGCCCTCCGCTGCCGCCGCGCTCCCGGCGCCCTGCAGCAGCCGCCGCAGCCGCTGTCCGCCGTTCAGCTCCGCAGCCATCTTCCGAGCCCGGCACAGACAGACGTCAGGAGGCTGGCCCGGCCCCTTCCCACGGCCGGGGGGGCTTGGGGAGGCGGAGTGGGAGGCAGCGCCTACCTGGGGCGGGGGGAAGCGGGGAGGGCTGGCCGGGGAGCGGCGGGCCATACAGTAGCCGCCTCCATGGCAACGGGTTCCCCCCGCCCACCCCCGCACCCTTAGCTCGGAGGGCGTGCGCCTGGAGCATTGTGAGCCCCCCCCCCACCTACCCACCTCCATTGACACTGGAATGGTGGGAGAAGGGGGGAGAATGCATCCGTACCCCCTGGGTCGGGAAGTTGGGGAAGCTTGGGGAGAGGAGGGAGACCCTTCACCCGACTGAAAAGTAGCGGGCCTCAAAGGGTGGATACCCAAGTATAACGGCTTCTCCCGCTGGGCAGGGAGACCATTTCGAGGGCATAGGCAACAGGAGCGGAGCGCCCACAAACCGAGCCCCGCAGATTGAGAACCCCGCGACTGCGGCAGGGTCTAGGGCAGGAGGATCAGTTCTTCAGGGCTAGCAGGGAGCTATCCTCGGCCTGTAGTTCGGGACTTGGGCGGGCCTCAGGCTAGCAGGGCTTTCGAAAGGCTGGCCAAGCACCCCAGGCTGGAGGCTAGGGATCCGGGTGATTAAATACGGATCGCTCGCTCTTTCTGCTCCCTCTGCCTTCTCTCCGAAACGATCTCCAGTGTGTATCTGGCTATATCTTTTTGTGCCGAATTGTTTGCATGGAGTCTCCCCAATGAGTGAGCTCTTGGAGAGCAGGGGCTATATTTTATTTTTTGCTTTTCTTTTAATCCCCTACGCTTAAGCACAATGCCTGGCTCGTAGAAGATGCTTAATAAATACGTGCTGGTTGACTCGCCTCTGCCTCCGGATTCGTTCCAGAGAGGGTTACCACCTGTTTACAATCCACTGCTGCTGGGGTGGGGAGCGGTCGCAGGGTTGCAAACTCCGAGTCTTGGAGTCAAGGCAGGCTAAGTTTGGCGAGCGACGGGACAGTAACAGGATTTTTTGTGCTGGAAGAGACTGTAGAGATGGGCCCACTTTACAAAGGAGGAAACCGAGGTGAAGGGACTTGCTTCAAGCCTGAGCCATTCGCTTCGGTCCCAGGTCCAAAAGTTAAAGAGGAGCCTAGGCTGAGAGGCATCTCCCCTCTCTAAGAAGTTTCTTTTGTGAAGTGAGGGAGATCTAGAAAATTGGGAAGGTTGTCTTTTGTTTGCCTTGTGGCATTCAGTTTTGCACAGAGCCTGGCACATAGTGCCATAGGGTGCTTGATAAATTTTTGATGGTAATGGTGATGAGGTCACCTCCCAGGGCCCTCCCAATTCTAAATCCTTTCTCTGGGGAATTCTGCAGAAAGACAAAGGGCACTAGGGCTCTGCGGAGGGAAGAAGAAAATCGTTGACGTGAATTGGAGAAATCACGAATAGCTCTAGGCTGCAGGGAGGAAGGCAGCAGACTCGGAGCAGTCGAGGCTGTCCTTGTGTGCAAGGACCTCAGAAGGGCGTGGGGGGGGGGGGGTCTCCCTAGTCACAAGCCAATAGCCAGCCTGGCCTCCCCAATTAAAAGAAGGCACTCCCGCAAACGAGAGAACAAGCAAACCCCTAAGACTGGATGAAGCTCCTTAGGGAGCCTGACAGAACTTCCTTTTAAAGCCCGCAGAGGGCCACGCGGAGGAAGGTTAGACCGCGGTAGGCTGCGAGACTCAAATACTGTTCGTCCATTGGCTAGGGCGTGAGCTACTCCTAGAACGGGGGAGGGGGAACCCGCCCCCCTCTAGCAAACTCCACCCCCTGACAGGGCCTCCACCCACTCAGGCCTCCGTGCTGGCGGAACCGGAACCACTCGGCTTAGTACCGGAAGTAGAAGACCCGCGCACGTGGGGAGGAAGATGGCGGTTCATCGCTCCGGCCCGCTGAAGCAGCAGAATAAGGCTCACAAGGGCGGGCGGCATCGGGGCCGGGGCTCCGCGCAGCGGGACGGCAAAGGTGAGAGAGTCCCTGGGGCGGGCGGAACGACGTGTCAGCTCAGCCCTTTCTCCATCCTTGCCTGCTCAGGAGGCCTTTCTCCGCCCCGGCCTCCCTCTCAGCTCTGCACAGCCGGCCGCGCCTGACCCGCCCCGGCTCCCGTAGGGCCCTCGACTCACTTCTCGCCTTTGCCCTCCCGGCTCTGCCTTCCAGGTCGCGTGGCCGTGAAAGTCCTGAGCAAGAAGGCGAGGAAGGAGCTGAGCCGAGTGGACCAAAGGCACCGGGCCAGCCAGCTCCGGAAGCAGAAAAAGGAGGCGGTGAGGCATGGGGGGGGGGCAGGGAGGGAGGACGGTGGCGCCATGCGGGCCACGTGGGCACACTGCCTCCGAAAGAGCCCGACCCGGACCCCCACTGGGAGGTGGGGGCCGAACGCCTTCCTCAGACCGCCGCCGCTGCCTTCCCCCAACTGCTGTCCCTGTCCCGTCCCCCCTCCCCGCCCCCGCATCCTGTCCCATTTTACTTCCACGGCATCTCCTAAAGTTTACAGGAAACACTGGTGCCCCCCCAATCACGTAGCTGTTGCCTTGGTTCGGTCCCTCCTCATTTATCTAAGTTATTGTCATATCTTCTTAATTGGTCAATGTCCAGGCTCTCCTTTTTCTATTCTTCTTTCATACTGTTTTCAAAATAAGCTTCCTAAGAAATAAGTCATCATGAAACTCCCCTGCTCAGAAACCTTCCATGCCTCCCTTTATTGCTTTTTCAGGCTCAGCTCCAGTACTGTTTCTGCCTGCAGCCTTTCCTGGATCACCCCTATTAATTAGTTAGTGCTGACTCCCTCCTCTGAATAATCTCATAGAAAATGTGAACTCCTCAAACACAGAGACTGTTCACTTTCGTCCTTGCACTCCTAGCGTTTCACCCAGTGCCTGAGGCATAGAAGCTTGATAGTGGTTGATAAATAGGACCTACCATGGAGTCAGAGGGTCAGGTCAGCATTCTGCTCTTGGCCCGGTATAGATGGAGTATCCTGGTGTCTTGGGGGCTGGCCCCAGCACATTGGGTGAAGGTGCAAGATGCCTTTAGAGGCAGTGTGGTACGGTTGAATAACATTGGACTTAAGAGTTGGAGAATCTATGTTTTCATCCTGGCACTGCTGTTTACTACTTGGGTGACCTGGAACAAGTTCTCTCCCTCTCTAAGACTTCATTTCCTTAAGACACGGAAGTTGGATTAGGTAGTCTCTAAATCCTGTGGTCCTCTCAAGGTAGAGAGACAACTTGAATGGAATAGAGTATGAGAGTGAGGGAAATAGGGCATGTTGCCCTACCTTTAAAGTGCCCTCTTCTCTGTCTTAAGGTTTTGGCAGAAAAGCGGCTACTGGGCAGCAGGGATGGACCACCTCATCAGGTGTTGCTGGTGCCCCTGCACGAGAGGGTTTCCCTGGGTGAGGCTTTGCAGCTGCTCCAGAACACAAATAAGAAGGTTGTGCCTGTGAGTGAGCAGGCTGGGATGCCACGCTTCATGCTGCTCTGTCCTCAGCTGAAACATCGATGGTTCTTTACATCTGCAAAACCAGGTGGGTGAAAGGCTGAGCTTGGCTGGCACTGCCTCTTTCATAGTTAGGTGCCAGCGTTCTTGGTATTTTCTGAGTGCTAGTGATGTCTTGCTGGTGTCATTGTTGACTTTGCTTTCTGAATCCAGGGGATCTGCACACTGTGTTGGACCTTGCCAAAGTGGCTGATACCATCCTGTTTATCCTGGATCCAGTGGAGGGCTGGGACAGCACAGGAGATTACTGCCTCTCTTGCCTCTTTGCCCAAGGGCTTCCTACCTATTGTAAGTGAGTTATGATTATCAACAGTCTCTAGGATAGGGGTAGGATCCTCTTCTTAGGAGGCTAGGTCCCCATGCAGTATTGGTTGAGTGTCTTGGTTTGTGGGATATCATCCCAAGTCCCTTGCCTGCCATCTCTGGGCTGGGCTCAGTGCTCCATGCCTAGTGCAGGGTGAGTGGTTCATTAATTGCAATGGGTTTTCGTGGCTCCTAACTACTTGTCTGTTTCTTTTGTGCCCAGCTCTAGCCATCCAGGGAGTTGGGGGCCTTCTCCCAAAGAAACAAGCAGATGCCAGGAAGAAGCTGAGCAAGGCCTTAGAGAAGCGATTTCCAGGAGACAAACTGCTCCATTTGGATACCCAGCAGGATGCTGTGCTGCTCCTGCGACAGTTGGCTAACCAGAAGCAGCGGCATCTGGCCTTCCGAGACCGGCGTTCCTACTTGTTTGCCCACGCTGCTGACTTTGTGCCCAGCCAAGAGAGCAGCTCAGTGGGCACACTAAAAGTGTCAGGCTATGTTCGTGGGCAGACTTTCAATGTAAACCGTCTCCTGCATATCGTTGGGCATGGCGATTTCCAGATCAAGCAGATCGATGCACCCACAGACCCTTTTCCTCTAAATCCCAGAGTGATCAAGGCCAGCAAAGGCTCAGATGTGGCGATGCAGGTGTGTGGTGTCACAGACTGGGCTGTGCCTACCGATGATTGCTGGATCCCAAGGAAGCTGGCAGCACGTTTTTGGTTTTTTGGTTATTGTTACTGAAAAGAGAATGATAGTTATGGACAATTCTGCACATCTACATTAGCACCTAGTAGGTGCTTAATTAGTGCTTTTATTCCATTCTGTTCCATCTGAAAACAGGCTAGGGATGCTTCTATGCATTCAAGTCATGGTTGAGAGATGAAGTCAGCAGATGGAGGAGATGTGATTAGGTAATGAGTGGTCTGAAGAACTATGGGTTTTAGTAGGTTGCAATTCAGTATGAGTCAGGTATGTGAATATGATGTTGGGCTGTACTCAGGCCATAGTTCCAAGGCCAAGGAGGTGGTAGGCCTGCCCTCAAGGAGTTTGTTAGAGGGAAGGACTCTCTTGGTGAGGGGAATAAAATGGATGAAGGGACAATGCCAGGATGAACAGGGCATGGTTACGCTCTGGCATGGACTTTGGCCCTACTTGATTCGGGGAGCTGGTGGAAAGTTGATGGAGGATAGGTGGAAGAGCCATTGAAAATGTACCAGCGGGCTCTTTGGAAAAGCAGTTTTAGAAAAGCAGCCTTTAAGGAAGATTTAGCGTGGCAGCTAGGTGGCACCATAGCACATAGAACCCCAGGCCTGAAATCTGGAAGCCTCAACTTCAGTTCAAATCCAACCTCAGACACTTACTGGCTGTGTGACTCTAGACAAGTCACTTAACCCTGTTTGCCTCAGTTCTTCATCTGTAAAATGAGCTGGAGAAGGAAATGGCAAATCTTTCCAGTATCTTTGCCAAGAAAACCCCAAATGGGGTCATGAAGAGTTGGACATGACTTAAAAATGGCTTAAAGTGTGGCAGCTGCATGTAGGATAGATTAGAGTTGGGGGGGGGGGGCGCGTGTCTTTTTTGTTCCTGCCTTAAAATGAGCTGAGTTATGTTAACCAAACCATGGGCTTCTCTGCCCATGAACCTGTATCTGTGGCCCAAGTAGAGAAGGTATTGATTGGAAAAATGTAGCCTTAATCACCTTCAGCAAGCTTGACTATTTAGCTCAGAGTGAAACTTAACCTTGTTGTGAAGTGAACCCTCAGAATAATGATAATAGCTAACATTTATGTGGTCCTTGAAGGTTTGCAAAGTGCTTTACATGTGTTATTTCATTTGACCTTTGTAACAGCCCTGGGAAGTGGGAGGTTTATTGTCTCCATTTTAAGGGTAAGGAAACAGGCTAAGTGAGCTGCCTAGGGTCACACAGAAGTCTGAGAGGCATGTTTCAAACGCCAGTCTTCCTGATTGCTGAGTCCAGGACTCCACTGCCCCACCAGCCACCACTAAGAGAATGAATGTTGAAAGTATGCTAGGTTGTCCACTCTGCTGCCGCTCCATCCGTTGTGAGAAAGCAGACGGCAGCGAGAGAATCGGTGTGGAGGATGCCGGCCTCAGTGGGAGGGGGTGGGGGGGGGGGGGGGGCTGTGCTCTCAGTAAGGCGAGACCTGACTGAGCAGTTCGTGGCATACCCTGTCTCTCAGATTGACGCTGCAGATGGTGATGGTGTGGCTGAGATGGAGGAGGATCTCAAGGTCCTAGTGAAAGCAGACCCTGCTCGGCAGGAATCTCTCCAATCGGAGGTGGTTCCAGACCCCATGGAGGGGGAACAGACCTGGCCCACTGAGGAGGAGCTGAATGAGGCAAAGGGTCAGTGCCCTTTTTGGTCGTTCATTTCTGTTCCCTGGGACCCTGAAGGTCCTGCAGGGAGGGCAGCCAGGGTTGGTTGTGGGGGAAGTGAAGGCACCTCCTGAACCATGGAGCACGCCCTGGTCCATGAGTCATTCAGTCAGCTCGGTTCTGCTGAGAGCAAGCGTAAGGTCAGGAGAGGGATGTTCCCAGGTGAGAAGCAGGAGATTGTAGTCTGGCCGAGCACCTGTTAGTGTTGCTTGGAAATGAGGCCAGTGACAGTGTTTTCTTTGGAGGTAGACTTTATTCGGTCTCTATAGACTTCTTTAGGTTCGAAGAGAGCCAGCTTTGGGGCTGCGTGAGCAGTAGTGGGGGAGGGGCCCTTAGCTAGGTCATACTTGGCTAGACTTTTTTTGCTTAACTTTTTTCATTTTGTTTTTTAATTAGCAGCCATTTATTTTCTCTCCCCTGTCAACCCTCTCCTATGTAAGAGAAAAACAAGATGCTTGTAACAAAAATGCATAACCAAGCAAAACAAATTCTCATTTTGTCCCTGACCCTGAATGTGTCTGACAGACTTCTTAAAGGAAAAAACCAGAGTGGTGAAGAAAGTCCCTAAAGGAACATCCAGTTACCAGGCTGAATGGATTGTGGATGAGGAAGATGGCAGCAGTGGCGAGGAGGAGGAGGATGACGATGACGCGGAGGCGGAGGATTTCATGGAGGAGGAAGATTCCGAGGTGAGCAAGGCTGAGGGCAGCCCTCGGAGCTCTGGTGCTTTCGTTACTGAGGACACGGCTGTCGCCGGGCCCCCGGAGCACTGGTGTCCTCCAGAGTAGACCAGGGACTCCCTGACGGGCCGGCCCAAGCACCACCAGCGACATGGGAGGAGACTCCTCAGGTCGCTGTCTCCGTCTTTGGAAAGACCCATGGGGGTGAAAACAACCTTGGTATACCGGAGGAGGACTGGTATTTACTTAGGCCTCTTGTGTACGTGATCTCATCTGAGACCCAGCCAAATCCTAGCAGGCGGTCAGGCAGGTCCCCACCTCCTCTGCCACAGAGGGTCTTGGAGGGCTGCCGCGTGCTCAGGCGTGCAGAGGTCGAGCCGTTTGCTCAGGGTCAGTAGCCAGGCAGGGTCAGGGCTGCCTCTGTCTTTAGCTCCTAACCCCCTTTGACAGATGAGCAAGCCCAGGCCCAGAGAGGTCGGGTCACTTGTTCTTTTTCTCCAGGCTGAGGGAAGTGGAGAAGAGTATGAGAGCGTGACCCCGGGGGGATCTGTCTGGGACAATCAGTATGATGAGAAGATTGACGAAGAGGCCGAGGAGCAAATGCTGGAGAAATACAAGCAGGAAAGGCTGGATGAGATGTTCCCAGATGAAGTGGACACCCCCAGGGACACAGCAGCCAGAATCCGGTCAGTCACTGGCAAGACGCGCTCTGAGTCGCTGTGGTGGATAGGAAGTCAGGACACCTCCTGGCTCCGTGAGCCGGGGCACAGCACTTCTTCCTGATCCTCCATGCCGAGACTTCTATCCTTCCCGGCCCCCAGCATAACTCGCTAGCCTGGGGGGCCTTTTTTGGCCCTTCGAGCTTGGAGCCTGGAAGACTCGGGGGAAGGGCATCTTGTCCAAGCATGGTTGAAAAAAGAATCCCCATTAGAAGCTCCCCGTTTGGCTTGGAAGACTCCCTCCTAACTGTTTGGGTCCCTTTTACTTTAGTGCTTTGTATGTCTGAGCACGATCAAGCCTCTGCTTGCCTCTTTGCACCCCTAATTACTGTATTCCTTTGGCCTCCTCTCTGAGGCTTAACAACTCATCTGGCTCTCTCGCAGTGAATTCCCTGAAGGGAGAGAGTGTTGTGGGTTGAGATAAAAGCTTCATGGAGAAGTTGGGGCTTGAAGGAAATTGGGGCTTGGCTTTATGGAATGAGAAACCAGGCTGCTTAGACAGTGGAAGAGCTGGATTGTGGAAGTGTGAATGGTCTTTATCCTAGTTGAAAGCTCTGTTCTGAGAGGCCTTTCCCCAGCTCCCCTGATAGCAGGACCTTCCTGCTGAGCTCAAGTCCAGTTTAGGCACGTGAGCTCTCCATTAGAGGTGTTCTCTGTGCTCCTGGAGGGCACGGGCTTTTATTGGGGGGAGGGGTGCTTTTCTTTGCATCCAACAGTGCTTAACACAGTGCCTGGTACATAGGGAGTACTTAATAAATGCTGGTTGATTGAGTAAGGACTAGCTCTAGGTCTCAGTTGTCAGGATGAAGATTTTTGGATTTATATGTTTGGACTATCTCAGGAAGTGATTGAGAGTTCATACTTCAGTTGGATCTTCATTCTTTGTCAAGGTGGAGTATGGATGAAGGTGTGAAGTCGTTTTTTTTTTTTAAAAAAACAAGGCAATGGGGTTAAGTAACTTGCCCAGGGTCACACAGTAAGTGTCAAATATGTGAGGCCAGATTTTGAACTCGGATCCTGCCGATTCCAGGGCCAGTGCTCTATCCACTGTGCCACCTAGCTGCCCCATGATGAAGTCTTCACAGGTTCCGTGAAGCCCTTCTGACTTGTTCATTTCTTTATTTCTCTGTGTCCAGATTTCAGAAATACAGAGGCCTCAAGAGCTTCCGCACGTCCCCGTGGGATCCCAAGGAAAATCTGCCTCAGGATTATGCTCGGATCTTTCAGTTTCAGGACTTTTCTAGAACTAGGAAACGGATCTTTAAGGAGATTGAGGAAGAGGAATCTGAAGGGGCTGAGGTACTCACCTTGTTATTGTTCATTCATTTTTTCAATCGTGTCTAACTCTTTGTGCCCCCGTTTGGGTTTTTTAAGGCAAAGATACTGGAGTGGTTTGCCATTTCCTTCTCCAGCTCATTTTCATAGATAAGAAAACTGAGGCCTTTCTGACTTGGGCTGGGTGCTCCGTCCACTCTAGCGCCCCCTACCTGCCCATACCCATCTTAGCTTTCCCCTAACTAGTCCTTTCCTTGCCAATGCTTCGTTAGCTGTCACTTAGGCCTGGAGAGGTGGCACGGAGGAGGGAGGAGGGAGGAGGGGAGAAGCTCATGATGTTGGCTGAAATGTCTGAACCTGACTGAGACATCTTTGTGATGTGGCACCTTTATGCCCTGAAGCTTCTCAAAAGGCCAGGGTGGATGGTATGTGTCCAGATGTGTGGCCCCCCACCCACACTGGGGGTATCAGCCCAACATTGGGCTTGCCTTGGTTCTTCTTGGCAGGTTGGCTGGTTTGTGACCCTGCACGTCTGTGGAGTCCCTGCCTCGGTGAGCGAGAGCTTCAGGAAGGGGGCACCTCTGGTCATGTTTTCCCTGCTGCCACATGAACAGAAGGTGAGTGTCCTAGGAGGTGGAGGAGAGTCTGTCCTTCCCTGTGTCCAGCCTTCTGCTGGGAACCTGAGTCTCCTTTTCTGGGGTTGTGAATAGATTGTCCTTAGGGCTTGTTACTACATGACTTCCTCAGTTCCCTGAGCTCAGGGTTACGGATAGCTGAGAAGCCAGTGATGGTTTAAGTCAGAATGTCTGAACCTGTTTGAAGCGTCTCGGTGATGCATATTCTGTGTGCCTCTGAGGTTAGTCTCTGAGTTTGCATTTGCTCTGTCATGAGGTGGCACCATTTTTCTTTTATTAATTTATTTTTAGTTTTCAACAATCACTTCCATAAGCTTTTATTTTGTTTTGTTTTTGCTTTTTGATGAAGCAGTCAGGGTTAAGTGACTTGCCCAGGGTCACACAACTAGTAAGTGTCAAGTGTTTGAGGCTAGATTTGAACACAGGTCCTCCTGACTCTAAGGCTAGAGCTGTGTGCACTACGCCACCTAGCTGCCCCCTCCATAAGCTTTTGAGTTTTACATTTTTCTCCCCCTCCTTCCCCACCTTCTTCCCCAAGATGGTGTGCAATGTGATATAGGCTCTACATATACATTCCTATTAAACATATTTTCACATTAGTGATGTTGTAAGGAAGAATTAGAACCAATAGGAGGAACCACCAGAAAGAGGAAACAAAACATAACAGAAGGGAAAAAAAAGCAAATAATCTGCTTCGGTCTGCATTCCAACTCCATAGTTCTTTTTCTGGATGTGGATAGCATTTTCCATCGTGAGACTTTTGGGAATGGCTTAGATCCTTGTATTGCTGGAAGGGCTAAGTCTGTCAACGTTAGTCATCGCACAATGTGGCTGTTACCGTGTACAGTGTTCTCCTGGTTTTGCTCACTTCACTCAGCATCAGTCCATACAAGTCTTTCTAGGTTTTTCTGAAGTCTGCCTGCTCATCATTTCTTTTTTTTTTTTTTTTTTTTTTGGTGAGGCAGTCGGGGTTAAGTGACTTGCCCAAGGTTACACAGCTAGTACGTGTCAAATGTTTGGTCTGAGGCCGGATTTGAATTCGGGTCCTCCTGACTTCAGGGCCGGCGCTGTATCCACTGTGCCACCTAGCTGCCCCCTGCTCATCATTTCTTATAGCACAATAGTATTCCATTACATTCATGTACCACAACTTTTTCAGCCGTTCCCCAGTCGATGGGCATCCCCTCAATTTCCAGTTCTTTGAGGTGGCACCATTTTTAAAAGGCACATGCCAGAATGACAGATTTTTCTGTCCAGCCTGCTAGCAGCAGCACAGAGTTATCAGCTGGGCGGAGGCGGGGTGGCTGAATGTTTTGGGTCCTGGAGCAGCCATGGTGAGAGGCTGGCAGTGACTCCAGGCCCCTGATGCCACTCAGGAGTCACAGTCACCACCTTGAGGGGGAGGGCATTTACCCTCCACTAGATCATTTGAGAGTGGATTCCTGGTCCTTGGTTGTGAAGGTGGGTAGGAGAGGGGGCGAGTGGGGTGGCGTTCAACCCAGGGACTCGGCATGTGGGCCTTCAGAATGTATGTAGAATTCTCTGTGTTGTTCATTGGCTCATGTCCTGCATCTCACGGGGCTGGGGGTTCCTCACTCACCGCTGACAACACGTCTTCTTTCCTGATCTTGCAGATGTCAGTGCTGAATATGGTGGTGAGGAGACACCCTGGTAACCTGGAGCCCGTGAAATCCAAAGAGGAGATGATCTTCCATTGTGGTTTCCGGCGCTTCCGGGCCTCGCCTCTGTACTCCCAGCACACTGCAGGTCTGCTGCTGCCAGGGGTGGGTGCTGGGCTCCTGGGCCATTTCTGGGACCTTGGTGGCCCTAAAGAATAATAGTGAATTGATAACAGTGTTTTAAAAAAGTGCATTATTTCATTGGCTTTTCACAACAATTTTATGAAGTTCTGTGGCTGTTATCATCCCTGTTTTACAGAAGAGGGACCTAAGGCTTTCTCAGGGTAACGGAGAATAAGTGTCTGAAGGGATAAGAGCCCAGCTCTTCCTGATCTAGTCTTCCACAGTCCCACAATTCCATGGGGTCAGTGTTCTGCCACACTTGCCTCTCTTATTAGTAATAGGATGAGTAATAACTCATTTCCACAGTCCCTGGTTCATTTCCATGGTTGAAATAACATGTAGACCCTCTAGACTCCTGAATATCATTTGGAAAAAGATGCAAAGATGGGAGGTGATTTGTGCAAGGCCCAGGAACAGAATGGTCACTCTGATGGGGGCATGGTGACAAGGGTGAGCTGGTTGTGGTCAGAAAAAGAGCCTCTTGGTATTCAAGAATCCTTGAACTTGTCCTCTGTTCCCAGTGCCCTGGGCCTGTGGAGCTCATTTAGGGGAAGCTGCCTGCAGTGAGCCCAGGGGAGCACAGGCTCTTGGGGGCTGTGAATGAACCACTGCCCCTCCTCCCTGTTCCCTGGGCCTATTGTTTTCAGAGTACAAGCTCACATTTTCCTAAGCCCTAGATGCTATTGAACTTTTTTTTCTGTGTTAGCGGATAAGCACAAGGCTGAGCGGTTCCTTCGTTCTGATGTGGCCTTGGTGGTGACAGTTTATGCCCCGATCACCTTCCCTCCGGCCTCAGTGCTGCTCTTCAAACAGATGCTGGATGGTGAGCCAGAGCCTAGAGGGAGGCTGCAAGGGGAGGGGAGCTGCCATGGATGAGGATTGTCCAGTTATTAGATGTTTAGATCATTATTATTATTAAATATAGAGAGGAAAAGGCCAGGGACCTGATCATCTCAGCCCTTCGCATCTTCACTAACTGGTGGGTGGAACTGCCCAAGGGTCTGAACCTGTTGAGAAGGGGTGTTCTTGGGCCTTGGGCTGGTTAGAAGAAAGCTCTGTGGGTTAGCTCCCCGGGCTGGCCTTTTTCCTTCTTTGGAAAGGGATTAAGGTCTGAAATGGCCTGGGGAGGAGATGGGAAGCCCTGCCATTTGTTGCCTGCCTTATTTCTGCTGCTCTGCATGGATTACTGACCTTATGTTGACTCCTGAAATGATTTTGTTGTCCTCCAACCCCATTAGGCAAGCACATCCTCATTGCTACAGGGTCCCTCCTGTCCGTGGATCCAGACAGGCTGGTCATCAAGAGACTTGTGCTGAGTGGGCATCCTTTCAAGATCTTAACCAAAATGGCAGTAGTCCGTTACATGTTCTTTAACCGAGGTAGGTGGGAGGGTGGAGGAAGGGGAGAACCTTGTAGCCTTTGGGTACCAGAGTTTTAATTTGGTGGGGAGGGTGTCCCTGATCATAGGACTAACTCAAAGGGCCCATTTGCAAAATCTCACCAAGAGGTAGGTCCACCTCCTGACCTGGACTTGGGGGATGCCTCTTGCCCTTGCTGGGACTTAGTTTCCTACACCCTAAAATAAGTAGGGTGAACTGGAGGATATTTATGGTCTCTTCTAATGTTAATTTCTGGGCAGGTGAACACCCCAGTGGGGAGGCAAGAGTTCCTCTTGCCTTGATCTCACAAAGGCCCCTGCCTTGCCATTCCCTCAGGGTTCTAGCCTGTAGGTGGCTCTTGTCAGGTGCTGGTCCTTGCTTGTGTTCATTGGTTTACTTTATCGGGCGGGGTCCTGTACGTTCTCTGGCCTCCTTGTTGGCACTCATGCTTTCCTGTGCCATTTATTCCTTCATTCCCTTTACCAGGCTTCTGTGTGTATTTCTTCCTCACCCTACTTAAAATCCCTAGTTTCCTTCAAAGCTGGGTGTAAGTACCATCTTTCCTGCCTCCCCCAGGTGCCAGAGACACCCCCCCCCCCCAAAGGACTTTGTATTCTGTAATTGTGTGTTTGGCCCTCAAGAGATGACGCTCACTAAAATGCTTCTTCATCAATTATTTTTTAATCTTAGAGGACGTGCTATGGTTTAAACCAGTGGAATTGAGAACTAAGTGGGGTCGCAGAGGACACATCAAGGAGCCACTTGGTAAGAGGGGCTGGTCCCTGGGAGTGACAACATTTCCTGGGCTGAGCATGTGACAGGGCAGTTCCTGCTGTCGGTTTAGGGTTAGCTTTAACATTGGATGTAATCTCGAGAGGCACTAGGTAAGGTGGCTCGGCTCACAGCCATGTGCTGCAGCGGCCTGAGAGGCCATCTGCCCTCCCTTCTCCCCACTCTCCATTTCTACAGAGGAGGAAACTGAGGCAGAGGGCTCCACAGATAGGGACAGGGCTTCCTGCCTGAGCTCACTCTTTGCTTTCCAGGTACTCATGGCCACATGAAGTGCACATTTGATGGACAGCTGAAATCTCAGGATACCGTATTAATGAATCTGTACAAACGTGTCTTCCCCAAATGGACTTATGATCCCTATGTGCCAGAGCCCCTGCCCTGGTCACAAGATGAAATCTCCCCGGAGCTAGAAGTGGACATGGAGTAAGGGCTGCCTGAGGGGTGTGAACTGTTTGGGGGCAGATTCTCTTCCCCTTTGCCAAGTGTGGCCCTGGTACCTGCCTGGGCTGTCTCCTCCCCTGGGGCTCCTAAAGGAAAGGGATGGGCAGAGTGACAGCACGGGCGTCTCTTCGTCAGTTCTGAGGGCGCTGAGCCTCCTCACCCTCTGGTTGCTTCAGCCATCTCAGGGAGGTCAAGTCCACGTTCCCCCCACTGAGAACCACACAGATGGCTTGGGCAGCGGGCACCACCTTCCGGAACCTCTCGCCCAGCACGGCAGCTACTCCCACTGCGGCTGTGGGCTCAATAAGAAGCTTCATCCTCTCCCACACCAGCTGGGTGGCATGCTGTGAGCCAGAAGAGAAAGCCTGTGTTGAGCAGGGGACAAGCAAGAGGGTGTGGGTGCTGCCCAGCCCAGGGGCATTTCCTGGCAGCTTTGTGTTCTGTCACTTCTACCCTACAGCTCAATGGTGGTATCACATTCCTGCTCCCCTGGAAGCTCCCTGCTGTGTCTGTGCTGCATGCACCAGACATCTCTGCCTGCGGCAGTGTGGGCCCCAGCATGCCCTCAGGAGCCTTATTAATCATTTTACAGAGGAGACAACTGAGCCCTGAAGGATATGACTCACATGAGTTCATGAAGAGCCTGGGTCTTTGGCATCTCCCCACCCCCCCATTTTCTGAGGTTTCTTACCTTAATTTCATCCTCTGTGACAGTGAAGACTTCATCCACCAGGTCCCTTATAATAGGCCAAGTGTTGGGGCCAATGCTTGATTTAACCCCATCTGCTATGGTGACTGGTGGAGAAGGGTTAGGGGTTAGCTCCCCTTTCAGCTTGGACTGGAAACAGTCATCCGCATTACAGGGCTCAGCGGCATACACTTTCACCTCTGGTCTCAGAGCCTGTTAGGAGAGCACTGGACGTCTGACATTGGCCATGGCACTAGGACAAGCCCAGCCGGGGTTGCTGTCTGTGCCGAGAGCCCCGAGGGCCCTCCAAAGGATGGACGTAACAATAAAGCACACTGCCCTGTCTGGTGCTGCTTTGGGGTTTTTGAGTTTACCATTTATTCTGCGTCATCTGAAGCATGCCCCTGGCTGGGGTGGGGCATGTAAAAGTGAGCCCAGTGAGAGGTGGGCCAGGTAGAGCCTAGCTTGGGGTCAGCTCCGGTGGTGATGTGTGAGCAAGTGTGCTTGAGCATAGCTCTGGGGCTCACTGCCAGCAAGCAGCAGTTGCCTTTCTGAGGTGCGGTCAGCACATTGCCTCATGAGGAAATTGGATGAGGCAGGAAGGGGCCAAGGGAGAGAATGACTGGTGGGGATAAATGCCAAGTTAAACTTGAATAGATGAAGCTACACACAGGTCTTGTCTTGTAAACAGAACTACTCAGTACCTGAATTAGGAGTCTGTTAAAAGTAAGGAAAGGCCGCCTAGGGTTGAAAACATTTTAGCCTTAGTCACCTTTAATAAAACTTTTCAACTAAAAGTAGTTAGTTTGTTCAAACGGCATCTCTGCTGGGTTTTTCTTTTTCATAGATTTTCAGGCGGTATGTGAATGTTATTCTGCATCATTTCTTGATTTGTGTTTTTTGTATCTTGTGATGGGGGGAAATGTTGATTTGCTTTCACGTACCACAAATGTTTCAGCCATTATGAATAAGGGTCAGAATTTTTCTGCAGAGGGATTGAACTTCCCCTTCCATTAATATCCTGGGGCATGTGATTCTGGCAGCAGAATCACCAGGTTGGAGCAGTTTTTGTAGTTCTTCTCTCAGGCCATGTTTCTATTCTTTGCTATAAGAGATGGCTCTCTGAGAAGAGGAAAATACTGGGAAATGTGGGTGATAAATTATAATTGAGTGCCTGTCTCTCCATTATTGCATATGGAGATAAAAGGAGGTATCTCAGACTTGTTTTAATTTTTGTTTCCTTGACTAGATGAAGGGTCTTACCTTGACTGTAACTGCTATTCCTGAGATCATCCCTCCACCCCCTACAGGTACCACCAGGGCATCTACTGCGGGAACCTATGGAGTGACAATGCAAAGTATACATGGGTAGACTAAACTTTTACAGGTACATCCTGGTTATGTAAAGAAACAACCATCTATAACGAATGAACGGCATTAGGCTGGGCACAAAACCCCATCAGCTGCCGGCTTACTCGCCCAGGGGCATCCCAAGGCTCCCTCACCTGCTCGAGCACTTCCAGAGCAATGGTGCCCTGGCCCGCCATCACAGCTGGGCACTGGTTGGGGTGTACCATTGTCCCTTCGGTTTGCTTCACAATTCTTGCTGCCACAGTTGTTCTTGACTAGAGGAAGAGAGGGATAAAGACAACTTCCTTTGTTGGTAATGGCAGCAAACAACCACCACCAAAAAAAACCACCATGAGAATAAAATCATTGGCGCTGGCTGCATAATAAAAGAGCTGCGCCCCTTACCTCATCACTGGGCTCACAGTCTATTATGGTGGCCCCGTAGCCCTGGATTGCTGACTTCTTACAGGAAGGAGCTGTTCTTGGGACCACAATATAGGCAGGAATTCCTGAGTAACAAAGTGCACATAGTCACTGGAGCACGTAGCATGAGGTGGGAGATCTGGGAGTTAGGCCTGGGTTCAAAGCCTGGCTCTTACACTTGGGTTCTTTAACCTTGCTAGACTTCTGATTCTTCATCTATAGAATGATGGGATTTTTTAATCTGGGGTCTGGGAACCTGTTTTTAAAAACATTTTGAGGACTTTCAACATAATTAGTCTCCTTGGTATCCTGTATATTCCATTTTATTTTACTTTATGCATTTAAAAAGTATGCTTCTGAGCTTGACTGCCAAAGGGGCTCAGGAGGTGAGAAAAAAGACAAAGAGCCCTGGGCTGGGACCCCTTCTAGGACCCTCTTCAAGCTCAAAGTCTAGGATTCTAAGTTGTTTACAAACAGCTTACACAGGACGAAATTTGGGGTCCTTCTAAATAATCACCATTCCTCTTTGGCTGAGACTACCTGACACTTCCATATAGGGCTTTAGATTTGGCACAGCATGTGACCTAGACATCACCTCCCTGGAGAATCAGTAGACCCTGGGAGTTAGGCACTGTGGATGGCTGTACTACAAAGGAAGAAACTGAGGTTTGGAAAAAGATGTCAGAAGCAGGATTTGAACCCAGGCCTCGATATGGGTTATGAAGTGCCTACTGTATACCAGGCACCATGCTAGGTGCCAGGGATGCAAAGAAAAAAAAAACGAATCCCTGTTCTCAAGAAGCTTACGCTTTGGGGGTGGGGGGCGGGGATGACATGTAGGCAGATACAGAATAAAGAGAACAGGAGGGAGGGAATCGGGAGAAATTCCCTGTTCTAGAAATGTCATGGTGAAATATTAATGGTTGCTCTCCTAGCACTACAAAGTTTAATAATAGTTTTCTTAACAATGCTCTGGAGTAAGGTGGGGGGTGGGGCGGGTGCTAGGATTCTCTCCATATTTGAGATGAGCAAACAGGGTCAGAATCATGATCTGAAGCCAGGTCTGAACCCCTTCCCAGCCCTCTTTCCAAGTGCTCAGATGGCAGTGGTCCATCCTCATACCTTTCAGTTTGGCCGCATAACTGAGTGCCTGGCCGTGGTTCCCACTGCTGTGAGTGACCACAGCTTTGGGTTTCTTCCCATCTGAAGGGCTGAAGGTCAAGCCCTGGATGGCATTGAGGGCCCCCCGGATCTACAGGCAGAAAGAAATGTGCATATCATGTCTGAACCTAGAGCTGCTCACACAAGCAATACCGCTGGAGCCCAGAGAGAGTCTCATAGGATTATACTGAGATGACAGATGTCACAGAGCCAGCATGAGTGACAGGTATAGGGCTGGAAGGGGCATCAAAGATGGGAGGAGGAAACAGGCCCGGAAAGGGTGACCTGCCCAAGATAACTTGTTAAGAGAATGGCAGAAACAAGGCTGTTTAATAAATTCAGAGCCAGGCAGGACCCTGATTTGATTCAAGAATTAGTCTGATTCCCTCACTTTACTGATGAGGAAACTGAGGCCCAGACACAGGCAGTATGGGGCTGAGGCAGGATCTGAACCCAGAACTTCACCAAGGGCATCTCAAAAAACTTCTGGCCAATAGTGCTTTAGAAGTAGTGTGGCCTAGTGGATAGACAGCTGGCCTTACAAGGCCTCTGCTCAGCTTCCATCACTGGCCTGTCCTAGCTGTGTGAGCCAGGACAAAGTTGTTGGATCTCTCTGGGCCTGTTTCTTCATATGGAAAACAGAGGGAGAGGGAGAGATATGCAGTGACTTCTGAGTCCCTTCCTGCTCTAAATCTGACATCAGGTCTTGAGTTTGTTTTGTTATTATTTGTTGGTTTTTTGTTCGCTTCCCAGGAATTTGCTTCTCTTCCACAAGTCCGGCATGTGTGGCTTTCTGAACTCATGCCTCCGCTTCTTATAGATGCCTGTGTGCAAGGCCAGTTAGGGCGGATTTTATCTAGAAATAGTGATAAAACTGGAAGCCCAGGGCCACAGACTCTTCTGTACTGTGGGAACTGGCCTCTCTGGGAAAATCCTAGCTGTTAACAGTGGTTTTTACCTAGCCAGTCCTCAAGGTGGGGGAGGGGAGGGGAGCCCCCTCTCCAAGCCTCTTCCTGGATGGGGAAAGAGGCTCTGGGTCTTTTAGCACTTGGGGGTCTTCACTGCTGCCCTGCATTCCAGGCTGCTTACTGATGGGTAAGACTGCTCCATGGCCTGCAGTGAAACGCTCTCTCTGCTTATGGGGCCACTGGTTGCCCCCTGCTTCCCTCTAACATCTTAAGACTCTTTCTCATGTAGTCACTACTTATTTACGGACTTATCTCCTTCGTTAGACTGAGGAAGCTCCTGGATGGGAGGGATCGTTTCTTTCTTGTATCCCCAGAGCCTAGCACTATGACTGGTACTCAGTAGGTGATTAATAAATGCTTGTCAATTGATTGATGTCACCCACCGTGACACAAGGAAAGCTCCTTGAGATCAGGGACTGTTCCACTGGTTTGTCTTTGGATGCCAGTGCCTAGAACACAGTAAGTACCTAATAAATGCCTGTTGATTAATTTATTGATGTTGCCCACCCCCATAGAATGGAATCTGGAGAGCAGGAACTGTTCCTTTTTGTTTGGTTGTTTTTAGCTACTTTGGTGGCAGTCAGTTCTGAATACTCTCGTGTGCACCCAGGCCGAGATAACCTCCACAGGGTTCTGTCCAGCTTACAGAACAATTGTACAATTGTTGGACTGACTGGCTGAACCTCTGCATTCAAATCCACAAGCCATCAGCTTGGCTTGTCCATCAGGCTGACCCACCTACAATGTTTTTCATATTCATGGCTGTCTACTACTGGTACTGTTATCCCCACTTTATAGATAAGGAAACTGAGGCTCAGAAAGTATAAATGATGAACCTACAGTTAGTGTCACTGCTGGGGTTTGAACCCAGGACTTCCCTGACTCCGTGGGCAGGGCTCTTTCTATTAAGCCACTCTATGAGAGGTTCTTGGGTCCTTCAGCATTCAGTCATGCATTACCAATGAAACACCTGGCCTGTCCATCTGTTCCTCCTTCCTCTTGCTAAACAATTATTGGTTCAGAAATCAGAGATTTAGAGCTAAAAGGGACCTTAGAGGACACCACATCAAACCTTGGGGAAACTGAGGCCCAGAGAAGGACAGCAGAAACTTAAAGCTAGAGGAAGTATTAGGAGCCATTTAGATTCATTTCCCTCATTTTATAGGTGAGGAAACCAAGGTACACAGAAGTGATTTCCCCAGGATCATTTAGCTGTTAAGTATCTAAGGCAGGAAGGATTTGAACCAATGTCTTCCTGACTCCAAAACCAGTGCCCTGTTTACTAGACCACACTGCCCCTTGGGTCAGCTCCTTTTCCAATCATACACTTCTGGGGTGATTTCTTTTACACTTCTTGTACATCAGTGAGAGAATGGAAAGAATGTCACAGTCAAAGACCTGGGTTTGATTCCCACCTCTGCTGGCTACTGAGTGACCTTGGATAAGTCACCTTTCTCTGCCTCAGTTTACTCACCTGTAAAATGAAGGGAATTGGACTAGATGGTATCTAAAGTCTGTTCCAGCACTAAATCTCTGTTCTCTCTCTGGGCCTGTAAAATAAGGTACCTAGAGCAGAGATATCAAACTCCCCAGACTGATGCAGAACCAGATTAAAATAAAAATATAATACAGCATAGATAATGTTAATTTCTGGCTTTCTAATTCAAGGGAGTCATGCCTATTTGCGTTTGACATGACTACCTTAGAGGATCTCTGGTCCCTTGGACTTCTAAATCATCTTATACCACACTGCACCTCAAAGGGATGCTTCCCTTTCCTTCCCATGTATTTCAGGCCTTTAACTAGCAATGGGTTGGGATTCAATCTAGAATTACCATGGTGTCATTACTTTGGCCACCACGAAGGGCCTGTAATGAGAATCGGGCTCTGGAGATCCATGGGGTCTACCCAGCTCTGGTGATAGGGGAGGACCAGGATCAACCCAAGGTGGGTCTTTGAGGCCTCAGCTTTACCTTAAAGGACCCAGTCTTCTGGAAGAGTTCACATTTGAAGAAAAGCTTCCGGCCAGCCAACTGATTCAAAATGGAACTTGTGAGGATGGGGGTGATGTGCACGAGGTCCTCAATGTTGGAATGAGCTTTTTTAACATCAGCCAAGGAGATGCAGTACTGAGAACACATGTCTGTGTCGGCCTAGGCAGAAAGGGCCAGGCTGTGTCAGATGCGGAACAAAGCCAGGGCGTTCCCCTGGGAGCTGCACTATCCTAAACCCTGGGAAATAGGTGCTATTATTGCTTCCACTTTACAGTTGAGGAGACTAAGGAAAACAGAGGTTAAGTGACTTGCTCAGGGTCATACATCTAGTAAGTTTCTGATGGAGGATTTGAACTCAGGTCTTCCTGACCCCAGGCCTGGCACTCTGACCACCTAACTGCCTCTAACTAATAATTAATGATGATGAAGGCTGCCTCTAATTAATACTGATGATAATAATATCTGACACTTATAAAGTTCTTTACCACTGTTATTTCAATTAAGCCCAACAACAGGCAGTGTGATGTAGTAGAAAGAGTACTGACCTTTGAGTCATGCCTGGATGTCACTGCCTCAGTTTCTTCATCTGCAAAAATGAGGGGACTGGACCACATGGCCAAAGGTCTCTCCCAACTCTAGATCTATGATGCTGTATTCCTGTGTGTATGGTCCTGAAGCAAGTCACTTTCCCCGCCTGGGCCCATTTCCTCTTTGTAAAATGTGAGTAATGATAATACTTCCCAAATTTTTATGAAAACCAAGTGGTATAATAACTTTTAAAACACTAGATAAAATATAAAAATAGTATCATTTTCTCAATCAAGTGATATCAACAGGACTTTTCAGGGACTTTATAAAGGATCCATCTTCCTATTTGAAAAGACTGGGACTTACTGCTTGAAGCCAAGCAACTTCTGTGGTGATGACCTGGCCAGGGTATTAACCAATGGCTTCTGGAAATGTTCCTGAATCCCCAAGAAAAACAAAGGTAGAACTTCCTGCCTCCCCTCCCCTCCAGAAGAATACCTAGAGACTCAAGGATACAGGGTGGGAAATTCCTTTTTTCTTGGATAACCCACTAAAAACTCTGAAGCCAGTCTCTGTGGTTTTTGTTATTGCGTTATTTGGTAGATTAATAATAATAATAATGATAGCTTCAACCTAGTTAGTCTCTTTATCCTTACAATCTGCCATCACACTCTTGCACTAGCCCTGGACTGGGTTGTTTAAAAGAGACAAAGGGCATTCACAACGGAGACTATTCTGAAGCTGAGATGCAACAAAGTATGAGTCGATTCTCTGCTGCTTGTGCTAATTTTGGCCCAACAATTAACACCAAGAAAACACAGGTGCTCCATCAGCCATCACCACCCCATCCATCTGTGGAACCATCAGCTACAGCAAATGGAGAAGTTTTGAATGCTGGGGATAAGTTCACTTACCTTGGCAGTGTACTTTCCAGGGATGTACACATTGATAATGAGGTTGATGCACGCATTGCCAGAGCTAGCTAGTGTTGGGGAGGCTCCACAGCAAAGCGTGGGAGAGAAGAGGTATTAGACTGACTACCCAACTGAAGGTCTACAGAGCTGTTGTGCTGATCTTGTTGTATGCCTGTGAAACCTGGACAGTATGCCGGTGCCATGCCAGGAAACTCAATCACTTTCGTTTGAATTATCTTAGGAAGATTCTGAAGATCACCGGACAGGATAAGATACCAGACACTGAGGTCCTTTCTTGAACTAAACTGCCAAGCATTCAAACTCTGCTTCAAAGAGTACAACTCCAATGGGCTGGCCATGTTGTTCAAATGCAAAACGTATGCTTGCCTAAAAGACTATTTTATGGAGAACTCATACAGAGAAGTGTTCACATGGTGGTTAGAAGAAGCGATACAAGGACACTCTCAAGGTCTCTCTTAAGAACTTTGGAATTGTGTGACATGGGAGACACTGGCACAGGACTGCCCAGCATGGCATGCCCACATCAGAGAAGGGGCTGTGCTAGATGAGGAAAGCAGAATTGAAATAGCTCAACAGAAAAGACATGCAAACTTCGAGAATCCACCCCAAAGGTTCACACACACCATACGAGCTCCTATTGGTCTGATCAGCCACAGCTGGACACACCAAAACTTGACTCTAGCATAGCAATGCCATTGTGGTCCTCTTCGAAAACAAAGGATGACAACCCTTCCAGGTAGTCATGAGGGGAGAAGAAAAGCACCAACCCTTAAAGACAAAGCAGGGTCCTGGTATCACTGGCCTCTAGAGTCCCTTCCTACTCTAAATTTATGATCCTATAATCACCAAGAGTTGGACACATAGCCAGGATGGACTGGATTCTGTGGAAAGATGGATGTTCATCTTCATGGCAACCAAGAAAGGAAAGAGCAGAGGCCTGAAGGAGCAATCTAGACTTATCCCTTCACTGATACTGTGAGTCATATGGACTGTGCAGGCACGGGAATGTGAGACTACTAGAGGTCAAAAGTGTCTTTCCATAAGAATAGAATTAAACATAACATTATATATTGATGTCTTATTAGTCTGATGAAATATGAACTGAGGGCTCTTTTCCCTTTTTTTTAAGCTACCTAAAGAGGAGTCAGATTCAGATATTTCCAGAAGAAACCCTGGATCAGGGGCATGAGCTAGAGAAATGATTATGAGAAGCCCCCAAGATGAAAGTAATCTTTGTGATGTCAAAACTGCCTTTTTTTTTCCCCTTACCATGGTCACCAACCCTCTCATATCTTATATTATTATAACATAAGGTCACAGAGTTAAAGCTGGAAGGGACCTCAGAGGCCAATCTAGTCCTACCTCATAATTGTAGATGATGAAACTGAGTCTCTCAAGGTAAAATGACTTGCCCAAGGAAAATTACAGTACAGCATCTTGCAGCCTCCAGGTTTATTTGTGTGCTACCTGTTCCCATTCAATTGTAAGCTCACAGGAGGCAGGTGTGTTCTTTCATCTGTATCACCCATCAGAATCTGCCTGACATAGACCAGGCAATTCAACGTTTGCTGAATCAAACTACTCTTAATTCTCACCGGTCGAGATGTGAAGTAAGGTTACTTACTGGCCGCCTGCCAGTAACCTTGGGAGGTAGGTAGGGATGGTAGGTAGAGAATGGAGTGACTGGCCAGAGACAGTCGGCTAGCGAGTACCCTTCAAAGCTGGAGTTTGCACCTTGGGCTCCTCAATACTTGTCCACCATATCACATCTGCCTCTGTTAACCCGGCAATCAACCAACGGGCATTTGTGAAGGGCCTCCTCCAGGCGGGGTATCTGGCTGAGCTGAGGATGGATAAAAAGAATCGCTACCTGCTGGAGGTTACATAGTAGCCGCATACGGGAGGCCCCCTCGGGAGGAAGCCCACTGCCAGCTGTCAGGCTCAGGATCTTATTAAGGGTGAGATCTCGGGCATCTGCCCCATGGGCTGCAGGAAGGCGGGTGGGTAGGGGGGTGTCCCGTCTCTCACATTCGAGCACTGGGTGCACAACGGCTCGTCGGACCCCCCAGCGTGGTGACCTCCGAAGCTACTCCGGAGGAATTTGGGTCACTGTGCTTTACAGGCACAGAAGGAAGAGCCCCAGTCTACGAACCGTCGTCAGACCTTCCCAGGGAGCCACAGCTGGAAGGGGGAGGGAGGAGTGTTGGGTCACCGCGGGAGGGCTGGCCTTGAACTTTGCTCCGGCCTGCTCCGCCCCGCCCCCAGTGACAGCCCACCTCTCCCAACCGCCATTCCTCAGGTAAAAGTGAAGGAGCACTAGCTCCACCGCACCTGAGGCAGCCGAGAAGTCCGAGCCCGGACCGAAGGCCGGTCTCCTGCACCCCAAGTACGCTTGCACGGCTCTCCAGCCGCCGAAGCTACTCACCTTACCGGGGGGGGGGGGGGGGGCGGGCGGGCGGCGCGTCCTGCTCGCGCATGCGCTTCTCCGCCTCCTTCTCTCCTCCAGAGCTCGCTCGCGCGTCTTCAAGCCTTCCCTCCCTCGCGGGCCACCGTACCGCCGTCCGGGATGGGAGGAGGAGGCAGAGGATGGGTGTGTGCGCGTGCGTGCTTGCGTGCGTGCGTGTGTCAGTCAGTCAGTGTGGGTCTGTGTGTGTGTCTGTAGCTGTGTGTGGGTCGCTCGGTCTGGCGGGGCGGGGCGGGGCGGGGCGAGGGAGGGGGCAGCGCGCGCCGCCCGCCCGTCCGCCCGCCCGCCCGCCCGTCGTGGTTTCCTGGCTGCGCGCGGCGGCGGCGGAGCCGGAGCAGGAGGAGCAGCAACAGCAGCGAAGATGGCGGAGGGGCTGGAGCGCGTCCGGGTCTCGGCGGCCGAGCTGCGGGGCATCCTGGCCACCCTAGCCCCGCAGGCAGGCGCCCGAGGTGAGCCGCGCCGCGCCGCGCCGCCCCGCCCCGCTCCGGGGCTGGGCCGGCCCCTGCGAGCCCCCGCCCCCGACTCCCTCCGGGGAGGCCGGCGGCGGCCGCAGGGCCGGGAGGGGAGGGCCGGGGAGGGACCGAGAGGGGCGGTGGCTCGAGCCGCCGGTTTGGAGCTCCCCGCCTGCCCCGCCCGCTCCTCCGGCCTTTCGCCCCCTCCCCCCAGCGTGGAGGGGGAGGACCGAGGCCAGCCCGGGAGCCTCC